ATTTTTTTGGAATTTATTTGATATTTTTAAACAGGGTTTTAAAATCAGAAAACTGTTTATAAACCTAGAATTTCATATGTCAGAGACTCAGTAAGTTTTTTAGAGGCTCGCGGTCGACCATGACGGTCGATCGGATGTAGTCCAGAGAGTTTCGCGGTCGACCGTCACGGTCGACCGTATGTTGTCCAGAGCCAAACCCTGGTCTTTTTGTTGCTCACGGTCGACCGCAAGTTTTCTATGGTCGATCGCCGATTTGACCGTTGGACTCCAACGGCTATTTCCTGAGCTGTTTTTCAGGGGGCTTTTTGGCCTTTTCTGTTGGGTTTTTGGCTGAGATTTTGTGAAGCTATATATACCCCATTGCTCTCATCTTTCATGTATAACTAAGAAAATGTTTTAAAGAAGTTTTAAAAAGAGTTTAAGTTTGGTTAAAGTTTGTTTAAGGGTTTGGTTTGTGAAGAATTCCACAAGAGGAAGTGGAGATCAATTCATTGATATTTGAGCTTCAATCCATCTCTCTCTCTCTCTCTCTCTCTCTCTCTCTCTCGTCATTTATTGGAGAAGTTTTCTAAATTCTATCTAGCTTTACATTTTATATTGTTTGATTATCATTCTATTAAGCTAGTATTTATATTTGAGTTTAGTTTGATTTGATTTGATTTTACTCATTGTTTACACACACCCACTTGAGCTTATTGTATTTTCATACATACTATATTTGGATTAGTGAGAGTTATAACAATTGAGTGTGAGCTTTAATTGAGTTCTCGCCTTGTATTAGAGAACAAATAATTTGTTGTTATTGTAAGGTGTGGAGTGTAGACATTGATCGGTGAACGTTAAAAACCGACATTATGAGTGTTTGTGAACGCTGATCGGTGAGCGTTGAAAACCAATAATGTGAGGTGTAAACGTTATTCGGATGAGCGTAGAAAATTCGGTTGTGATAGTGGATTTCTCCCCGGGAGTGGGGAGCGGAGACGTAGGACGGAAGGTCCGAACTCCGTGATCATATCGTGTGTTTGAGTTTGCTTTGACGCACTTCTCTTATGATTATATTTCTTGTCGTCATTATCCATTGCTCATTATTTATATCATCCACTATCTTGTTTATTTTGTTTACCCTTGTGTATATCACTTATCCTAGCTTACATATCTTGTTGTATTTTATACTTGCTAAGATAACTTGTTAATTAGTTTTAATTGGCATAAAATCAGATTAGATTATCATAAGACCCTAATCATCCCCCCTCTAGGGTCTAACAGGTCTTATCACTCGATCTTTCTCATATAAATACACTCGTTTGATCCCCAAATACTTGTTATCACATTCACCTATGATATAAACTTATGTTTCACAATAAAAAAAATTTCATTCACTGTATTTTACGGGGTTTTACAGAGGTGATGCTGATCTTGGTGGAGAGGGGAGGCTGTCATGACGTGGTCGGCGTGGCAAGGGGTGGCGGTTTCACGGGTGGAGGGGGCTGAAGAGAGAGAGAGAGAGAAGAGGGGGGTGGCGGTGGTTGAAGGTTCGGCACAACGAGATAGGCGTGGCAGCGGCGGTGGTGCGGGTTGGCTAGTGGTTGGGGCGGCCGAAGAGGTGAGGGAAGACGGGGCGAGTGAGGGAGGAGGAGACAGGGGGGTGGTCGGGCTTGGCGGGGAGGCGACGGCGATGTAGGGGATTGGTTCAGGGTGCGAGAGGACGAGTGGGTCGGAGTGGGATCTGAGAGAGGGAGATAGGAGATGTTGGTGGCGGGTTTGGGAGAAGGAGAAGATAGAAAAAAAGAAAAAATAATATATATAAATAATAATATATATATATATATAGATATATATTAATATATATAATATATATATATATATTATAATATATATATATAGGAGAGAGAGAGGAATATTAGGTTTTTTAAAATTTAATGTAAAAATAATAATAATCACGAAAAAATTAAATAATTACGTAAAAATTATTTATACATTAAAACGTACCAGTTGTAGTATTACAACTGATAATACACAACAGTAGAAATAATACAAGAAATTACACAATTAAACAAGAATAATTAATAAAAAAATATAATTACCTATATTTAAAATTAAATAATTATGAAATAATTATCTACACGATAAAATGTACCAGTTGTGCTAATACGATAGATAATATACAAAAGTAATAATAATATAACAAATTGTACAAAATAATATGAAATAATAATACAACGTATTATACAAAATAATATGTAATAATAATAATAATACAACATATTATTTAAAAATAATACGTAATAGTATCAATAATACAACAGATTAATTCTAGAAATTTTCACCGCATAAAATTAATTTATAAATAATAATATCATTTAAATAAATATAAAACTTGGACTTTAAATTATAGAAAATTCTAGAAAATTAAGAAAAATACAAATATTAACTATTTTTAAAATACCAGAAAATTTATTTAACTAGTATCAAAATTCATGGTCCTTACAACTGTGAGGAGAGTTGACTATGGCTTCCCTTCCCCTATGGCCGAGAGATGACTTTGGGAGTCGACCAAAGGGTTGTACCTTTGGTTTATTTCTGATAAGGAATCAATGGCTTGCTCCAGAGTGCCTAAGGCGCTGTTGAAGAGGACTCTGTGGCCCTGGCTGCCACCTTGTAGGCTCGGGCATCTTTCATGTCCATGTATCCATAAGCTCTGACCATCAATTGCTCATAATTGGTGACTGGCTTCTTAACCAAAGAGTCGGTCAATGCATTGCTCTGCCGACCGGCTACGAGTACTAACATGGCGATCGCACTCTCTGGGTCGTCGACTTCCAACCTCTTAGCTTGGAATCTCTTGAAGTAGGCCTAGATGCTCTCTTCTGGTCACTGACTCATTTTGGATCAGCACATGAGGGGGAAGCTCCCGCTTGGCGTCAGCTAGGAAATAGTGGATGAACATTCGGCTAAGTTGTCGAAAGTTTCTGATGGATCTCTTCTCGAGAGTGTTCCACCAGAGCTCAGCACTCCCTGAAAGAGTGATAGGAAATCATCGATAGAGGATTGCTTCTGATGCTTGGAGCATACTCATCACATCATAGTAATTCTGGACATGCTCGGAGGGGTCTCCCTCGCCCTTGTATGCCTCTATGCGAGGCATCTTGAACTTCTCACATGGAACATTCATAAGGTCGTATGAAAGGGGGTTGTTATTCCCGAAGACGCTTGCAATCGGTCTGGTGACTCGATCGTATCCAGATGCTCTAATGGTAGGACTTTCGCCGGTGAGTTCCTGATGAGGAAGGAGACATCGGCAAGTTGACCGATGGGGTGCAAAATTTGCTTGTTGCGGCTGGGGGGGCCGACTGAGAAACTCACTAGTGAAGGTAGCAAATTGCTCTTGGAAAGATTGATGAATCATATGAGCTGTTGATTCAAACTGGGCTTGAGTAGCATAGCTCTAATGAGGTCCTTCAGGACGAGATTGCTTAGCTCTATCTTCAAAACTAGACATGTTCTCTTAAAAAAGAAAGAGGGCCCAACAGTGGGCGCCAAACTGTTGATGCTCAATATCAAACGGTCGATTAATCCAGAAGATGATGGTCGCGGGGTGATGAAGGATGATGGAGGGGATCGCTTCCTTGCTCGACTTTATGTCTTGACCACTGAGTTAGAGTGAACGCTCTGCACAGAAGAAGGTCGTGAGAGGGCGGGGTGATGATTCCCCCGTGGTACCTTCGAAGATCAAGTCAGTTGATGAACTTGAGCCTGAGTGGAGTAATAGAACTATGTGTTCTTATGCTATGTGCATTAGAGATGATGATCTTTGAGATTTAGGTCAGGAGGAGAGTTTTGATTGCCAACCTTTGGTTATGACGAATAACATCTGTATATAAAGAGGATGCCAATGGCAGATTGGTCACTTCGACCATGCAAATAGCGGTGACAAAGTGTGAGCTGGAAGGTGAGTCATCCTTTGCTCTACATGTGTCGGCTGGCGACAGGAGGAAGATCACTTCAGCCTCGATTTGAGGAGCGATCTATGGGACGTGGGCTGATAAGCGGCGTGATGACGCATGGTCTTTGAGTAGACATGTATGACTTGTTGTCAGGATGAATAAGCTTTGGCAAAATTATCTTCTAGCTTCGCTGAGAAGCAATGTCCCTCATGATGGGACTCGGGAGGAGAGTCGACTCGTTGAGAGGAGTGGCGAATCAAGGATTGATGGCTGAATGGAGTCGGGTGAAGACTCGTCCCGCCTTTCGAGTCGACATGGAGGAGTATCGACTCGACTGGGTCGACTTGGCTTTTGACGAGTTGCCTGCTACAAGAGGGTCGACTGGTACCGCCTTTCGTGTCGACATTGGTGAATGTCGACTCGTCTGGTCGGCGGAGTCGGACTGCTAACTGATCTCTGGCTATCTCTCTCGCCGATCGAGATGTCGACTCGTCTGGGAGGTCAGGATGTCTCGTGCCGATTAGCACCGCTCCTCATGTCGACACTGAGGTGTCGGCTTGTCAGGCTGGATGGAGATGGCGACTCATCAGATCATATATTTAGAAACAGTTGTACCCCATAACAAGCTTTAACTCATATTTTCCCCCTCACATCCATGCGCTCACATCCATGCGCGTGTCAAACTTCTAATTTCCGTACAATTTCTTTTGTTGTGTTATTCCTTAATAAAAAGGAGGGCCTTTCTTGAAATGAATTTTAATTATATTTGATGATAATATTCATTTAACATATTAAAATTATCCATAAACTTAAATTCTAGTACGAAAATTCAACTATCAATCCAATAATCCAAACCAAAAAAGTCCAAGAACTTTACTCAAAAATGTAAAATCCAATCCAAGAGTTCAGAGCCCTATACTAGGAAAATTCCATTTCTAATCCCAGTTTAAGGATATCAGATTTATGAACAAATTTTCCTAGTTGTATTCAACAATTCAAGAATGTTCGGATTCATATAACAGAACAAATCCGCCCAACTAATGCAAATCAACCGAACCCGAAAAATCCAAACCCACAACATGATGCCGATGAGGTCGGTCTGGCACTAACGTGCTCCGGTATCACGTCCGTTTCAATAAAACTCCCCACGCCCGCGGGCCTCCCTCTAAAAGATCACTAGATCTCAGCTCTCGCCGGTTCGTCTCGCTCCTCGCTCCTCGCTCCTCGCTCCTCGATCCCAAATCCGATGAAGAAACCCCGCGGGGATGTCGCCAGCGTTCCGCTCTCGAGATTCGGCGTCTTGGTCGCGCAACTCGAGTCCATCGCCGCCTCCGCTCGTCAGCAGCCTCCCGATCCCCTCCTCTGCTTCGATCTCCTCTCCGAACTCGTCGTCGCCATCGAAGACGAGCCCAAGGCCAGTGCTTCACTTCTACTGTGTTGTTGTTCTTTCTTTCCTTTTCTTTTTAATTTCTTTTCTAAGAAGCTCGATAAGTTAATTTGGGACTATCCAAAAGGCATGAGACTAAAGCATTTCAAGCGAGCAAAGTGATGAGCTTAGGTTTTATATATGATATTTTATCAAGTTAGTCTTTTTTTTTAATTTCTTTCTTTCGTAGTGAAGATACTTAGATGTTCAATGTAGAGCGCGTTCGTCAAAAGTTATGAATGCATTTGGAGAAACGTGTTGTGAATGCATTTTAGGATCCATGTTATTTACATACGCATTGAAATTCTTAACTGTTTTATTTATGTTTTCCTATTGTAAGGTTATTGATTGTGTTGTGATATCAAAATTAAGTTTTTTTTAAACCCCCTTTACCCATGAAGCAAACGAGCCTTTAGTTCTGTGCTGTGCATACATCATTTGCACCGGAATACCAGTCTAATTTTAAGCAGTTAACTAAGCAAGTTCCAACTATCAGAACTCGAAAAGTCTAGACCTAAGGGCTTAATAAAGTTTCAGGACTCGTGTGTTAATTTTCCTTTACAAGAACCTCGCCAAGCCCATGGGGTCTGAGATCTGAAACCCTCAAATCTGGTAACTGGTTCTTCTCGTCTATCTCTTCACTCTACAGTCTCACTTAATCGAGCGAGTGACATCTCGTTTTCTCTCGCTCCATCCCAAATCCAATGAATCTCACTTAATCGAGCGAGTGACATCTCGTTTTCTCTTGCTCCATCCCAAATCCAATGAAGAAACCACGCGATGTAGCTAGCCTTCTGATCTCGAGGTTTGGCGTTTTCGTTGCTCAACTGGAATCCATCGGTGCCTCTGCTTCCTTAGCAGCCTCCTGATCCTCTCCTTTGCTTCGATCTCCTCTCGGAACTTGTCACCGCCATCGTGGATGAGTCCAAGGCTAGTGATTCACTTCCATGACTTCTTCTTTCTTCTAATTAATTTGCGCTGGGTTTTATGATTCATGGGCGTTGCATATTCGAGTGCATTCGTTGGAGATTACTCCTATGGAGTGTCCGTCAATGGGTCAAAGAGGACTATGACAGACCGGAAAGTACTTAGTTGGAAGCAAGTAAGGACTAAGGAGATGACTCATAACTAAACAAGCAACTTAGAAAGAGTGGTAAGATTGTAATTAACGGGGGCTAGGGTGTCATGAGGACTATGATAGATCTAGGAGAACTTGATTGGAAGCAATTAAGAATAATATATGATAATAACTTCCTCAACGAATGAGATGGCTCATTGCACCCGCTGGAAGAAGTGCTAAGATTATAGTTAATGGGGGCTAACAGAACTAGAGTAGACATAAAGAACTTCATCGGAAGCAATAAGAAGGATAGGGTAATACTTAACAAAGACGATGACCTGTAGTGGAACCTAGGTTAGCTGGACACTTCGTCTAGGCTGTCGTATTCTTGTCCGACACTTCTTGTATCCTTGTCCATGTCGGACACTCCTTGGACACTTCTTGAATATATATAAACATTTATTCAGACGTGTACTCAATATGTAACACAAGTTTTAGGTTAAAAAACTCGTGATACACTTTAACATATTTTGTACACTTATCCTCAAATTTATGCTACACGTTGGACTCGGGACTGATACGTTCTAGCACATGCCTAATTCATAAGTATGATTTTAAAGGGTCATTTGGGTATCTAGTTAAAAAATGAGTCGTGTTTCAATTTATAATCTACTCAATAAACGAATCATAAAAATTGTATAAGGATTTTAGTTCTCATAACATGTGAATGCAAAACAATATCAATCTCATGCAGATTATTAACTTTAATGTGTATATATATAGCCACGTCCCCATATCCTAACTTTTACAATTTTGTCGTGTCTCGTATCCACACCCGTGTCTATCCACCCGCACCTGTATCCGTACAGCATAGAGTTGAACTAATGTTTTAGAAAGTTCTAGGCGCTTCTAGGCTCTTGGACTAAGTGCCTAGTGCTTAGAAGCCTAGGTGGACACTTAAGCGGAACGTGAGCGTTAGGGCTTTTTGAAGACTAAATATTCTATCCTCGCCCTTTGCCTAAGACGGACTTTGATATCGAGTTTTGGTCTGATCCATTTTGGCCGAACCATTCTCTTCATTCGTTACAAATGCCTATGTGAGCAATATACCCCTTTTTTGATGCAGTGCAATCCGCGTGAGTAGCACATGCTCTCCTTGTTGCTCTCAAGACCCTCCTAGACTGCTTTTTGAAATATATAATAGAACTGAATGAAAAAATAAGATTCACGTAGCCATCCCATAAGTTTGGGATTAAATGTTTGTTGTTGTTCATGATTTTATGTGCTTCTTGCAGGAAGCTATACAACAATCACAGAGGAAATGCGAGGATGCTTTATACTCTTTGCTTATTTTAGGGGCTCGTCGGCCTGTTAGGAGGTTGGCATCGTTAGCAATGGGCAAAGTGATAGCAAAGGGCGATGGGATTTCTATTTACTCGCGAGTGAGCACTTTTCAGGGATGGCTCGTTGATAGCAAAAGAAACGAGCCACTTTCTTGTTCAGGTATTGAAATTCTTATTTTTTGTTAATTTTTTGTATAATTAGTTTAGCTTCCATCAGTAATAGTTGTATCATTTGCAGGTGCGGCACAATGTTTGGGTGAGCTATACCGCTTGTTTGGACGAAGGATTACCTCTGGTTTGGTGGAAACCGCCAACATCGCAGCGAAACTAATGAAGTATCATGAGGTAAATTTTCAAAAATTGATCGATAGTAGTCCGGTCGCACCCGAACAATAATATCCCAGAGGAAAATGCACCTAAGATCAAATATTTCGAGTTGGCTTCCGTGGAAAATTCACTTATGTTTATATCAAAGAAATTAACAATTATATGTAATGAGTGTTACCCCAACCCAATGGTATTGAAATCTCTTTTGTTATGTGAGAAATTGGGTTTTAGTTTGTGACCATGAGTGCTTGAGAAGTTCACTTATGTTTATATTCGTGTGATATTTACAGCAGTAATGTTGTGAGCATATCAAAGAACTGCATATAGCGAGGCAATTTATCATATGGATATCAGAAGTTGTGATCATGTTGATAGATTTAAAAAACCTTTTACCAATTAATACTTATATAGAAGTGATTTTAGGTAGTGCTCTGGTTTAACATGCATTCCTCTCTACAATGATCAGGGACGAGCCTAAAGGGGGTAGCAGGGACAATGGCCCCTCAAATCATTAAATTGCTATTACATAGTTATTTGAAAATTATCCTCTCCTATCAAGAGCAGAGTATCAATTAGAGGGGTTAGTTTGAAATAATTTATAAAAAATGGGGAACCTAATGCAATTTCAATAATTTGAGAGATCTCCAAATAATTTCAAAAACTAGGGACATAATAGCAATTTTAATGATTTGAGAGACTAATTTCAAAATATGAAAGATTTATGTGACTAATACGAATAAAACCCTTAATTTAATATATAAGAATTTAATATGTAATAGTTATATGTATTACAAAGTAGTGAAAATACCCCCTCAAAATAAAATAGTTAAAATATTTACTATTTACCTGATATGTCTGTTAAAATGTATGTTCTTGCCTCCACTTTAATAAATATGTGAAACTTCACCCGAAGTTTAGTTATTACCTTTCAATGATTTTATATTATTTGTTGTTGTGATATTTGAATTGAGTTTTCTTAAACTTCTTAGCTTTTACATTAATATTAGAGTCTCTAATTTTTTCAAATTTGCATGATTTATTAATTTCTAAATTAGTTTTCTTAAATACTTAGCTTCAAAATTGGGTTTTCTTTACTTGTTGAGATAATTGAATTGAGTTAGATTATAGCATTGTATCGCCAATTTATGGCAGATAGTCTTTTTGAAATCAACAAAATGAAAGGAATGATTTTAATTGATAACAAGAGCTATATTTGCTCATTCATGACTCTGAGCCCCCTAGCCAAATAATCATGGACTCATCCTTGTTGACGACCAATACAAATTTCATATGTTGTATAACAATGCTAGAGACACATGATATATTTGATGTTTAATTATTATTTAAGCCATGTTTTAATGATTTTTCATGTACTTTTCTGCATGTGAAGATGTTTGATTTTTTTTAAAGTGTAAATTGCCTAGAATATCACTCATCTAATCGAGTAAGCATCTTTATTGGTTCCATTCTGTTGCCAGTAATGTTTTCAAGGACATCTTGAGTATATTGCATGCTTCCTCATTTTACATCTTGCTTGTTTCTTTTTACATCTTGCTTGTTTAACTATTTCCCTGTATTTCATACCTCATCAGTGGTTGAGCGAGTTGGCTTGTTGGTCAATATGTTAATCTCACTTATTTCCCTTCAATGGCTACACCAAAACTTTAGGATTTTGTAAGGCAAGATGCATTACAGATGCTTGAGAATGCATTGGGAGGTTCAGGGGGTAGTGGTGCTTCTGCAGCTTACTCTGAAGCTTTTCGTATTATCATGCGAGTAGGTGCGAGTGACAAGTCTCCTATTGTAAGGATAGCTGCAGCTAGATGCTTGAAGACATTAGGAAGCATTGGTGGACCTGGCCTAGGGATCACAGAACTTGAAAATTCCATTGTTCATTGTGTAAAGGTATATCTCTCGTGTATTCTTTCTTCAGCTCTGCAAAATTTAGTTCTGTTTCAACCTTTTCAAATTCACTTTGTTGTATTTTAATTTTTTGAGATGCATCTTTCTTAGATCTGATTCATGTCTATCATTCTGTCTCTATCACATTTCATTAGGCTCTTGAAGATCCTGTTTCATCTGTTAGAGATGCCTTTGCTGAAGCCTTGGGTGCTTTGTTAGCTCTTGCAATGAATCCTGATGAACAGGTATACACGCTTTTAAAGTAGCTACCATGCATTCTTATTTCCTGTCTTTTATAAATGAATTATGGATACTTTTTCTTGAAGGTAAAACAACAAGGAAAAAATCATCCTGCTGCTGCTAAGAAATTGGATGACTGTTTGCAAAAGCATTTAATATCGCCATTTACTAGAGGTAAGTTATCCGTGTATGAAATGATACAAATTACACACTTGTTCTTCGGTAAGACTTTTCAGTTTTCATTTGATGATTGTAAGTCTCCATGTTGGTGTTTCTCGTATGGTGTGTGTGATATTTTGATTATGGATGTTCCTTCTTGATATTCAAATTTTCATGGTTTCTTGTGAGATGTCAGTCATCTTTGTTTTTTTTATTAAAACTTGTGCTTTGCAAAGCTGATAGCCTGATACTGCATCATCACTGGTAGTGCCAAATGCATTATGTTGACTTTTGAAGCACATCAGTAAGACCATTTTCCTTTGTGAGTTTTCCTGCAAAATTCTTTAAGATTGTTATTCTACATACACACATACATACATGTATAGATACATATACAGGTTGGCCAAGTGCACGAGGCTCCCATCGTTGCAGGGTCAAGGGGGGTCAGATGTATGCAGGCTTATCTCTGTATGCATGCAGAGAGGCTGTTTCCAAGACTCTAACCCGTGACATCCAAGTCACAAGGCACCAACCTTACTGTTGCACCAAGGTTCCCGCTCAATATATATCACCTTTATTATCCTGACAAGCAACCTTTAGAGAATTTGCTTGAAGGTTAGAAAGAAAATAACTAATGTCAACTTTAATTGTAATTGCCATAAAACTATTTCACCCAAAACATGAGCTATTGGATTGGAGCTAACAATGCATGCCGAGCTAACTCAACACTCCCGCTTATGTTTTAGCCATTTGGCCACCACTTCCAATGGATCGCCCCGTTCCTTGCTGAAGTCACAATGCGAAAATTATGACAAATGTAGATAACTAATTTATTTTCAAATAACAACGATGAGGTCTGAACACAAAACCTTAAGAAATTTGGCGCTCCAATAATATGTTATGAAACTAATTCACCTAAAGCTTAAGCTATCTGATTGTGACCAAACAATGCTATCTAGTTAACTTTGTTCATGCTTAAGTAGTAATTTAACATCTTCATATTTGAAGTGCAAAATTGTGTTCTTTTTTACAGAATTTGTAGTTCTTTCCAGACAGCTGATGTTAACTTTACAATTTTGACTCATGAGATTTTATATTGCTATTGCAAATCTCATTTTCTTGCAGCAAGTGGGACGCGTGCAAAGAGCCTGCGAATTGGACTGACATTATCATGGGTGTTTTTTCTACAGGTAGGTATACTTGAATAACAAGGTCACTTCATGTATAGTGCTTCTAGCACTAAACTGACTAAAGTTTTTATACTGTGTCACTGCCTTACTCCTTTTGTTGACTATGAAATACATAATCGGAATTTATAGTAACAAATCTTCACTGTTTCCTATGAAATTTGGTTTAGGCCGTAAATTCAGTTTGAAGTCTTTAATTTTCAATTTTGCCTATGAAATCACCTCCCAGAGTTTCCTATCATTGTTTATATCAGCAATTCGGATTCAATTTAAGAAAGAACATTGAAATATTTAACCTTTTGTATTTAAATAATTTCTTTTTCATCCCTTTGAAAGAACATAAGCTGTCTGGGCAGTTTAGTTATCTTTTGTGACTTGGACTTTATTATTAATTACTCCAAAATAAAATTTCCAAATTCAGTTTCTTCCAAAATGTTGGTTCTTCAATTATCTGGTACAACATTCATTGTCCTGTTGTACACCAGCCATTTCTATTTCCACATAAAATAAGAAAATGTGTAAATGAGGAGAACAAATTCTTGATCTTGACTTTTACTTTAGTGTGAACCACATTGTTCCTTTCAAGTAAGGCCTGCTATGAATTCCTTTCAAAGTCTCTACGCAACTTAAAATTTTGGGAAGTGGAATTTCGTTTTCTTTCCAAGTTTGAAGTGCAGACAGGACATAGTGTCACCGGCTCATTTCCTCACATGTAAAATGATTTATCTTTTTGTTTGAAATTGTTGCTTTGATAAGTTAATAAGTTAATGCTGCATGTGATCCTCAACTGTGTCTTGTGTTGTGCTGCTGAATCTTGAGTTCTTAGTTAGCTAAGACTGGTATGTTGCTTATTGATTTTTTGTTTGTTGTAGTTCTTTATTCTGATACCCTAGTTTATCACTCAACCCTTGCCATAACTTCCTTTTTTTTCCTGGCAAAACCATTAAAATAATATTATCCATCTCCAAATCCAGCTGGGTGCATATTTTAAGCAGACAAAGAGAAAAAGAAAACACTGCTGTGCATAATCTAGAATTCAGCCTATAGGAGCTCAATGCTCAATGTGCTGGAGAGTGTTAAAGAGTATAAAAAATATATCTCTCAGTCTCCTTTTTAGGAGGTTAGTGTAGTGGCTGGGACATCAGAGATCTGCTTGGTAGTTACAGTTCATTCTTTCTACTGAAATTTGATATGATGCAGGTGATCCGGCTCAAGTATCATCTCCCAGATAGTGAACTACAGAACTTTTCGTCACTGACCTTGGATATGCTTCAGGGGAATGCTTCTATGGATGTGCATGCACTGGTAACTTTTCTCTTGTTATTTTATTTTTTAAAAATGTAAAGTTGGAAGTGCTATGACTCTGGATTCATATCTTAAATAACTATTGATTGATCTTCAAGGTATCCTGTGCAATATTTGTGTGGATGTTGACCCTTAGAAACAAAATTTGATAAGTATCATCCTGTAAAAGTTGCATCCATGTATGCACATGCGAAGATACATACATAAACATATAGATGCTCGCATATATGTCAATTTTAGGTTGATAATTTTTCGTTTTTTGAAGCTTTTCTTGGTGGTCTTTAAAACCGGAGGAACTTCTAAATTAGTGAAATCAGAGTTCTTTTTTTATATCACTTTTTTAGGGTTAGATGCAAGCTTTTTGTGGTAGGTATGGTGGTTTTAAGACGCAAACCTCAAGGTCTTATTTTACGAAAATGGAAAATATAAGTATTTGTTTTTTAAAATCATTTGATTTATGTAAAAGGTGTGTGTATGTCCATGTATTGGGAAGGAGGGCCTTGGGGGTGTGAGTGTGGGTTTGGGTAAAGTGCATCGTTGCGCGATTCCCCAGATCCCTCTCAAACCGTCATACAGTTCCTGCAAAACAATTTCCGGTACATTTGCGAACTGATTCCCTCCAATGCACAAACCGGTTCCCCAAAATTAGTGTACCACCTACAAGTATGATAGATGCAAAGTCTCTTTAAGTGAACGTGCGCAAGACGCAATGCAATGTGTGCAATTAAGTGAAGGGAGACACATAATAGAGTGTATGAGCTGATGATTTTACTGTAACTTAAAACGCATGTTAATTAAATGTAAAACAAATTAATTAAATATAAAACAAAACCATGATCCTAAAACGAGCTCTGTGAAAAAAAATCAGAACAAAGAAATGAAATTCATCAAAAAGAAGTATTTAAGTATTTTATATGAAAAAAATTTGCGTACCGAAGCAAGCTACCCCCTAACGAATCCAAATTTTCTAAGTGCCCAATTGCGTACCCGAACTCGTACCGTGACCCGCTACATACTGTGTACTGTGCAACTATGGTAAAGTGTTCGTATGGAAGTTCCCTTCTATATCTAGTGAAACAGCAGCCTGAAATCTGATGGTGCATCATCGCAATGGATGGTAATTTGATGATCAACACTATTCATCTCCCAGCACTAAAATGATTGCCTATAAAAAAATAAATAAAATACTCATGTATTCTGATACCCTTTCGACTGCGTCTCAAATGGTTCAAAAGTGGTTGAAAAATGAATGATTTTTTAATAATAGAACATACCCTCCCTTTCATCATGCACTACCTAATAAATAATACATGCTTCTTAGACTTGGTTAATCTGCTTGAGTATAACTTTGTTCTTTTAACTTTCTGTAACATATAATGTGATTTTTATTGGTTTTGTATTTCTGAAATTTGTACTGCACGCAGTAGGATATGAATATTAGTATAACATTTCCATATGGATATGACTTCTGGTAGTATATCTATGTCCTTGTTTTGCCACTGACAACTCAACTCCCTTCATGTTTGAAGGCATGTGTTCTGTACATTCTTCGTGTGGGCATAACTGATCAGATGACTGAGCCAACTCAAAGAGGCTTTTTGATCGTAATGGCAAGACAGGTCAGTTGTAATCTCATGTCAGTTGCTTTTTTTTTTAAATTTAGTTTTCAAAAATATGAACATAATTTTTTTATCTTGTGTGTTGCAGCTAGAATCTGGTAATTATAGTCCATCAGTGGGTGTTGCTACATTGCGTATCCTCTCATATCTTTTGAAAATATTGGGAGAGGTAATAATAATATTCTGGCTTATTTTTTGTTTCTTCTAACTTTGTTGTTTCTTCATGTAATATTGGGAGTGTTAACCATAATTACTGTACTTCAACCACTGCTTGTACGGTTCCAAATTGGTGTTTCTTAACCTGTTTCCCCTTTTCTCTGTTTAGTGATTGGATTATTCTTTTTACCAAACATATGCGGATCAAATTACGATCTTCTAATCTAATAGGAACAAATTTCTTCATGCTCGTTCCAAGTTCAAAGTACCATTTGTACAAATAAGAATCGCCGATAGTACCCATTTTAGGAAAGTCCAGTGCCAAAGTTATTGAATGGGTAAGTCGCCAATCCCTAAAACAGACTATGTAATGTACTTTATCTGCTGGGTTATGGATACTGGTGAGTATTTTACTAGAGGTTTCTATCAATCTACCTATGTGTGATTCCTGTTATTCCTGTTGAATCATATACTCGGGGGGTGGCGCGAGGCGGATGATTTCCAAACGGACTCCTCATTTATTAGATAGAGAAGAGGTCCTTCCCTTTTGGGCTGATTGTGGGCGAGGAGAGATTTGAACTCCCGACACCGTGGTTCGTAGCTACATGCTCTAATCCTCTGAGCTACAGGCCCCACCTCGTCTCCACTAGATCTGTTCCTGGGAGTACCCTAAAAAATGAATCTCTCCTTAGCTGTGACACGTTTACTAAAAAAAAAAAAAAATCCTTTTGTAGCTAATCATTTATCGAGAAAAATTTAGGGCTTAGCTTTTCATGGTTGAAATATTCTAATTTGTAATTCTGAAGTTCTAACTTGTAAGTTGCAAGCATGTATAAGCTTAATGGTACTTACTGGCTTAGGAGCCATGAGGCTGACTGAAAGTAATAGGAGAACAATTTAATATTATTTATCTGCTGTTTGAGGTAATGCACAAACCAAACTTTGTGGTTTCAGTTCTCCCTTGTTGTTATCATTATTTGGAGTTTCAATTGTTTCAGCAGTTCAAAATATAATTATTGGTACATGGATTAGTTTAGTCACAAGTTTTTCTTTAATCATTGATTTCTTCTTGTGTCCGCCATTGTAATACTATCCAGTCAGTTTTTGTTACTTCAAATATTAGATCTCTTCACGTTAGTTATTATCAGCCCTGTAAGCATGTAGTGATGGTTATTATCCTAGGAAGCATGTATTTATCATCATTGTTTTAAATATCCCCGACATGGCCCGATATATCCCCCGATATATCCTTTTACAGGGCTTGCCGCAACCGATATGGTCTTTAAATATCCTTTACCGTTTTTTGGCTATTTTGAGTGATAAATCCCCAATATGGCCGATATATTAGCCGATATATTAGCCGATATGTGGACTAATATATCTTTTTTATATAGCTTGTTCCAAAATAATATACCGTGTTTGGATTTTTTGGGCGAGATATCAAGATTTTCCCATTATATCAAATGACATTTTGCCCTAAAAAAAGCAGATCGAATGTTGCAACGTTGCTTTGCACTTTTGTTTGTTTTAGAAGGTTGATTAGTGATCCTAAACATATACTATTCATATTTTGTATGCCTAAATTTCATTACATATGTTGAGATTACATTTTAATGCATTATACTATGTATGCAAACATTCATTATGGCATTCCGATATTTACCACATATCCCCGATATTTTCCCGATATCCGCAATCTGATATGAATTTTAACCATCCGATATTTCCCCGATATCCGATATTTAAAACCTTGTTTATCATTATTTAGCCAATATCTGCGATCTCACCACTTCCAGTTGGATCTACTGCATGCTTAAAATTCCATGCGTATGGTTGATACATAGGGTAAGGCTGATACTTCAAACCTTGTTGTTAATACAATTTAGATACTTTTTGTGCATGTAAATACTATGCCGATTTAGCAGTGACTAACACATTTTGTTTCAAAGCGTGAACAATTGCAGTTTAACAATGTAAACAGGTGATTCCAATTTGGTCCTTTGGCCCAATTTGGACCCATGATTCCATTTGCCCTCCTAACTCTTAAGATGAGTGCAATTTTCCTGACCTTTCTTTTACGAGGTGTTTGTGGTTGCTAATGAACTGTTTAACACTATCATAGAGAGTAGGTGCTTTTCAGCAAGATTGGATGTTTGGTTGCCACTTTCAGAGCACTCAGTTAAACTTATAACAAGCCCAAGATTGCAGCTTGGAGAAGCCAGTTTTTCTATCTTAAGCTAACAACAACAAAATTATGGTAGAGATGATGACATCGATGATGATTGTCGTGAACATGTATGAACACATTGCTTGTAGCATCTTTGATAAGGTTGCTTGATAAGTTAATAGCTTGTTGTAGAAACTAAAGATCTTGCATATTTTTGGTATCTGATCAGTTGGTTGATATTTGTTTCAGTGAAAGGTTAATCAGTGTCGTCGACATTAATATTCATTTATTTTTGTATATTCATCTACGCTCAGTTTGTGCATTTGAATTTTGCAGGTTCCAGTGGAATTCAGAGACATCCTTGATAGCACACTGGTTGCAGCAATGTCTCATTCTTCGTTGCATGTAAAGTCTTAATCACACCTATTTGTCCTGTTTATTTTGGTATTTTTTGATTGTAATTTTTTTCCTGTTGCAAATATAAATCTTGTAAAGAGGTAATGTTAAGTGCTCTTATGAATTATGATACTATTATCAAACTTGTAAAACATCCTATTTTGATGGCTGCTAAAGGGTCCTGTATTCCCGATTAATAGTTATTGGTTAATTTAGTAACTATTGCTTAACCTTATTGATTATTGCCTTATACCAGACTAAGTTCCAGTGTCATTGGCTCGGGTTCAAAAAAAATTAAGTACTTAAGATATAAGTTTTTTGCACAATTGATTAGCATCTAAACATCATTTCATAACAAGATTTTGAAAATCATACCAATTAGAATATAATGTTTATAAGAGCATTCCTCTTGCCTTTATATCTTGAAACATTTTAGGACATTATTCTCATCAATAGTGCAAAATGTCTTTTCCATGACATCTAGCCTTCATTTCTTGAAACTGTTTCTTGACATCTTCGTCTTAGTACATCCACCCCAAAGAGAAAACAACAACCAGTGCATTCTTCACCAGATCATTTGCATTAACTAGAAATTAATATGTTTTGCAGTTTTAGCTTTAGCTTAGTAATTCATAGGGTTAATTTGTATGAAGTTCATCATTACATTACTAAAGTTGCATTAGAAATAATTACAGACTAGACAAGAAAAAGCTAGATAAAAAGAAATTACTGCAAGAAAAGGGAAAATTGGATTGACCTTGTTTAATTGGGCAGTGAAAAAAGGAGAAGAACTGATTCTACTCCTCTTGGCCCATTGGAGTCTTGGGCCGAGGGTCGAGCGAGAAGAAGAGTTTTTTTTTGGAGGGTGGTTGGGGTGCGGGAGAGCAAGACTTCTTGCCATGTAGCCAAGGGTTGAGGGCGAATAAGACTAAAGAGGCGAGGACTTTATAGGGTAGAAGTGCAAAGATGCGAGGAGATGTTGAAGCGAGCATTATGGTTTTGGTCTTTTGGGTTCCTCTCACAGTCGCGACTCATGACTCGCGACCCGCAAGACTCACTCAAAGAGGTGAGACCTAGATAGGAGGTTTAATGGAGTTAGGCATCCTATGCATTTACCCCATAGGAAATAAATATTTGCCAGATAATCTTATTCCTTGTTTTTCTTTTAATAATTTCAAGGTGGACCCTTTTAGCCCTAATATGGCTCCGCCCCTGCAATGTCGGTATTGACTGTATGTGGTACAAGTTTTAGCTCTTTCCTTATTTAAAAAATAATCTATCTGTATAAAGTTGGCTAATTAGAACTAGTTTTATCAAAGGCGCGCACCTCATTGCGCCTCATGCGCCCTGTGACGCGGAGCATTGGTGAAGTGCTCTGCATATGATGCGGTGCTACCTTTTTTCTCCTTCCAAGCACCATTTGTGAGGGCTCTTTGCACAGGGCGAATGTAAGGCATAGCCTCATATTCTTTTGTTCTTTAATATTTCAATCGGGCCTTTATACCGGATAATCCAATTTGAGAAAAAAGCCCTCGTTAGGCCATTTTACTAGCTCGATTGAGAATCTTAACTTGTTCTTATTTACTATTTGATTTTGCTTCTTGATTAACCTTGATTTGACTTTTGGGGTGTGTTTGGCAAGCACCCAAAAACTGGACTAAGTTTAACCCTAGCCCAGTTTTGCTATAAACCAGTTTGTGTTGGAACACCACCCCCTTAATCCAACACTAAACTAGTTTTACAGCCTCCTTTTGGCCTAAGAAAAACTAAGCTAGAGCTAGCCTAGTTTTTGCCAATGAAAAGCAAATCCAAAATTGGGTCAGGTTAAGTCCTGACCCAGTTTTAAGAGTTTACCAAATGCACCCTTGATATAGAAAAATATAAATTTTACAATCATATTGACTGTGTTAGCATTGTGAATTAAGACCTTTTTTATTTGGTAGTAGATTTTATTTATTTTGACATATTTTTTGGTGAAAAATTCATAAACATGTTCTTTCATGCTTGATTATCTATCTTGAAAATTAATGTGTGTGGTGTGCGCCTCGCATCACCTCCCTTAACTCGGATGCGTGCATCCCGTTGCGCCTTGCACATGTGTTTATAAAGGGACTTTGCTCCTGTCATTGTGCATTGATAACACTAACTCAGACAATTGTGCATCTTTTTTAATCATAAGCATTTTTGGATGCATATAATCTAAAAAGATGATCTTGAGTTTTGTGCTAGAACCTCCACCTTTGGTTTAAGAGAGTGTTCAAGAACATATTTATTCAAGGTCTCTTGGTTCTTTCTCATGAACAGATTAATGAATGTTTTGATTGTTTGGAGACCTCAGTTTCATACGTCTCCACTATGAGCACAAATAAATGTAAGGACCTTTTCAATATTCAGTGCCATTTTTATTTAGGCGGTAAATAAAATAAATATATATTGGTGGGAGTTGGACAACTGGGAGCATCTCCCTTTTTCTGTTTGTTGTTATATTTTTCGTTCTTAATGTTTTGTTGCAAAGTTTACTGCTTATCTTACATATCTTTAGAAATGATAAGTGGGAGCCAGTCCAGCAAAAGCCTTTTGTAGTTGTAGATCTGTAATGCCATTTCATTTTTCTTTCACTCCTATTTCTGTTGCTGTACTTCCAAATGGGAAATCAATATAAGTATGGTTAGTGGAATCACTGGAATCAATTAATGTTACATGTGAAAGTGGAGTTTTTTTAATCTTTTCAGGAAAAAATATTATATTTAGGGGATAAGCAGAAAAAGTAAGTTTGAACATGCTCCTGATAAAGAAAAGGGATTCATAGATGAATTATATTTGTTATATTCTGTTTGTACTTGTCTTCTACTGTTTGAAGGGTTTTTACTTTTCACTACGAATGCCTTTTGATTAGCCGATTGGCAAAACTTCGTTATTTCTGTTAATAAATTTATATGATGTATGATTTTGTTATTGTGGGCTCTTTGGGTAGTTCATAATTCTCTTTTTTGTAAAATTTTCATATGTTGTTTACACAGGTACGTACGGAGGCTGCTTTAGCTTTGCGTGCATTGGCTGAGGTTGATCCTACTTGTGTCGGCGGTTTGATTTCCTATGGCATGACAACATTACATGCACTGAGAGAAAGTACAGCAAGTGGAAAGGTAGATTTACATGATAACTCTTAAGTTCAGAAATTAGTGTGCTTATTTGATTTTTCCTCTCCCTTCGGATTTCTTCATTGTGTATTCTTTTTGTGGACATGATAAAATTTCTTTCTTGTTGATTTGTTCAAAAATTTGTTTGTGATACCAAAGTTAATCATCTTCCCAAAATACGTGAAATAAGCTACAATAGGATGTAGCCATCTTAAACTCAAGCTATAATTCTAACGGGAGCATCTTTCATTCATATTTGTATTTTCATTACAGCCCTTTCACAATTTAGAGTAGAGTTGATTATTTAGCAAGCTGCGTTCTTTAATTTTAATTAGAAGCTTTCTTGGAAGAACATGAAGAAATGTGTTTGATGGTTAATATTTGTCGTACGATCATCAAAATGTGTATCCATTTTATATTATTTTTTGTGGTTGTATGTAATATATTTTAAATTGAGAGTTGAAAGATACCCATCATTCTATTTTTCTTCCCTTAGAACAAGGACAAAATACGACAGTGTCATCCTGATTATTCTATGGCTTCAATTATCAGCTCTGAGTTATCTCTCTATTAAGTTAACAACTATAATTCTAAATACAGACTAAAAGTTTTATTTGAGATGTGACATTGACTTCAGGAGTGAGGACATGGTAGTTCCCTATATGTTTTGAGAATAACTAGAGGAAGCATCACCACAATTTTCTATCTTAACAGATAAGGTAAAATTTTGTGCTTCATAGCTTGTAACCTTGATTCAACATAGTTGAGGTTGACTTTCCGTAATTGTATTTGAGGGTATATTGGGGTTAGCTCTCCACTGTTATGCAGTTAGAATACGATGAACTACTCTTCCATTGGCTCCATCCTTGTCTTCAGTTATTGTATTGTCCACTTTGTTCTGCATTGCTCTTAGATGTCAGGTAGATGAAATTATAATTTCTGCACTTCTGTTTTGCTTATCACAACTAGTTGACCTTGTTGTTGCTAGGGAGATATCTGAGGCCCTAAATTGGTAGGAACCATAAGATTGGTCTCTCCAAGCCCTGTGATGCTGAAGCACATAGTATTTAAAATGGATGTATCATCTGACAGTGATGTATGAAGGGTACAAGGCAGTGTTTGAAGTTGTCGAGAGATGGCGATGTGTGACACAGCTGTTTTCAGTAGTAACTAAAGATGTGAATTGTAAGCAATGGCTTTTTGACATAGTGGACCAACCCACTTTTTACTCTTACATCTAACCCGTCTTCTTACATAAAACATTTATAAATTCGAAGAGAAACAAATACGGATGTTAGAGATAGTGCTAATGATTCAAATTTGTTCATTAAAACTACTTAACAGTTACCACGTACGAGAGCCAGTGGACATTGACATCTATTCAGATGTTCAAGCCTACTGACTTGGTCTTGCTAACTACGCTCTTTTGGTAGGGATTCAAAAACTTCACAACGGTTTGTTGCAACCTATTTAGTTGCAATGGTTTGACATGGAAATGTTTAATTCTCAAATTACGTTGATGATGAAAGAAAAAGGCAGAATAACTTTGTAGAGATAGAAACAAGGCAAAGTTATTAATCCATCTAACCGTGATCTCTCTTTCTCTTAAATAGAGAGTAGGAGGGTTACATAAGCAGGTATAGATATTGGACCAATTACCCAAGTACCTAAATAACTTAAACATTTAGCAACATCAAACATTTCCTTTTAAGGTGGAGCATATATCTCAATGTTGCCAAGCTTGTTACGCAGAAGAACAAAAGAAGTAGGTAAAAAAGCTTTGGTGCCCAGAGTAGTCACTAGTCAAAGACGTCATCTATTTGTTTGCTTCACCTTAAGTAGGCACAGAAATTTACATATAACTTCTCTTATGATTCTGATATATGATACCCTATCTTAGAAATTTACATTTGATATCTTCGATACATTTTTCTGAAATGCATGTATTGAACAAGCTGTTGTTATTGTTCTTTATGTCTGAGAAAAGGTTACTCTGTTTGCTTGAATATTTTCACTCTATTCATATTTTGCACATATCAAATATGCTTTAGAATTACTGTCAGGGCTTTATGTTAGTTTTCTTTCTGTTAAATCACAGGGAAATGATTTAAGTCTTGAGCTTGATGCTTTACATGGACAAGCAACTGCTCTAGCTGCCCTGGTCTTTATCTCACCAAAACTATTACTTGGTTATCCTGCGAGGTAAATATCTTTCAGTTTTTTAAACTGTATACTGTTGAAGTCAACTATTTACTGTTGAACTGAAGTTTGTAATTCTTTTATTGTTTTCCTTATTTCTCGGATCCTTGTGCTTTGCCATCTTTTTGATAATTTTTTTAATATTTTGTTAATCCTGGTTTTCCTATTTTCTGACTTGTGTTGCTTAAGAATATATTTACATAGATTACATTAACACCAACTTTTGAGTTATTAATTTGCATGATCTTTCAATCAGAATTGTTTCTAAAAGACTGATATACTATCATCTACAGGCTTCCTAAATCAGTCCTTGAAGTTTCAAAAAGGATGCTGACTGAATCTAGTCGCAGTCCTGTGGCAGCAACTGTGGAAAAGGAAGCAGGATGGGTTCTTTTGGCATCTCTTATTAGCTCTATGCCAAAAGAGGTGTGGTTGCTATTTCGAGTCATTTAAGTTGACTACCGTCTACCTATTCTTTCTTCTTCATGACCCTTTCCCCTCTTTTTCCTTTAAAATATACGCAGGAGCTTCAAGACCAAGTCTTTGATATTCTTTTACTTTGGGCAGAACCTTTTCTGGGAAATCATGAGTCTTATATTAGGAAAAATCAGGATTTGATCTTGGAAATGCGGTAAGTTGACTTCCTATTTCCATATTGGATATTTCTTGAAGCTATGCATTAGTTTTTTATGTTGTAAATCAATTTGATTTCTTTTTTTGTTGTATGCTTCAATGGTTATCATGCAAAAGTGAATCTTTTGACAGACACTATAAACTCCGTGTCCTCTACACTGATCTAGAATCATCAATGACTGTTATATCGATTTCCTGTATGGATAAAATCAATTTAAGTAAAACTTTTGCTACTCTTTCTTATGTAGAATGTATATTTTTAGAAAATTTTCTTCTTTGCGATGGTGATTAGTCATCTGTCGTAAAGAAATATATATGCATTTCAATACCTTCCTTGAACAAATTTTTTTTCAACTGATATACTTAGAAAGTGTTATTTCCTGAGGTATGTCGGACAAGTGTTACGAGTGTCAGATAGGGCACCCTATAAAGTATCCACACAATATGTTATCCAGGAGTTGTCTACTTGAGCTTTCCTTGGACGCAAGTATTTCACTCGTACATAAGGTGGTACCTATATGTGGACCTATGCAGTAGGGCCTCGTTGGTCACAGAACAAACATTCAAGTAGATCATTACAAAAGCCATGGGCCTGAGCTCAGTGGATTGTACTGTTAATGATCCCAGAAAGCCTGCTATGGCATTTATTCAAATACGAAAGGAAGAGGGAGAAAAGATAGTGAGATAAAGATGAATGTAGGGTGTCTTTAGGAAATCACTTTAAACTTACAGCTCCTCTAGGGTGATCTAAACAGAGACCTATACGCACATACTGAAGCAATTATGTTTAGGCGTTCATCTTGATGAGGATGACAGCCCAACAAACTTACATGATTTTGTACAAAATGAGGAGTCAACAATTACATGATCATAGCACTCACAATAATAAAGATGAATGTTTTCTCTCTGGCAAAATTGCGGGTTTACTGCGTGACTTGCATGGTCACTTGTACAATACGGTTTATGAGCACTAATACCACATATAGTAGTGCTATTTGCAAGGTTTTAAAACATGATTGCATATGTGATTTTGTTCAGTCTATTGTTTCTGTGTTACTTATTGAGTTTCAGTTACTGTTTATAAAATTGTAATATATATAATTTTTATTTGAGTAAAATGTTCTTGTTGATGTGCTTTTTAGTGTTCTTTTATCCCCCTCCTTGTTACTCGTTATTTGATGTACTCATATGTGATTGGTAGTGACTCAATGGCAATACCCTAAACTGCTTGTACTGCAAAAGTATTGTTTTTTTTTACTCCCCTTTCTTGCTTTTCATTCTCTTTATTTCTCTGAGAATTTGGTTGGACTGTGCTTGTAGTGCAGTTATCTTTAATGTTTTCGTTAAGGTACTGGTATTGGGCAAAATTATTGCACTTTGGATTGCTTTCTTTAGAAACCAGTATAGAATGGTTGATATGCAATGGTGACTGAAACTTTTACCATACTCATTTTGTTTGCTTTCATTTGTGTTTTCTGTGCCGATATCATTGACCTATCGTCTATTAAATATTTACTACAATTCTTTGTTCTATCTTTTTAGTGTTATGACAGCTGCAATAGAGGCTCTTACTGCTTTTATTAAAAGCTTCGTCTGTCCAAATGCGGCTGCTAAAAATGGTGTAGTCTTGCTTCAACCAGTGCTGGCATACCTTAGCAGGTGAACTCATCTTTTCTATTGGTCTTTTTTGATTTTCTTGCAGTGGTTTAGTTTTCAGTATTAAAGCTCAAAACATAATGTTCTCTATATTGTATAATTGCAAACAGTGCTCTGTCTTACATATCATCTTTATCGTCCAAGCCCTTGCAAAATATAAGGCCTGCATTGGATCTGTTCACCGTCAAAACATTGATTGCTTATCAGTCAGTTTCTGACCCAATGGCATATAAAACTGAACATTCTCAGCTTATGCATATATGCAGTGTACCATTCAGGTAATAGGATTTTTTTTCATCTATAAATAATTTCTGACATGACATCATCAGTTTGCTTCTCAGATGATCTTGAAACTCTTATTCTTTACATTTCATATAATTGTCATATCTTAGAAGTTTCTTTTTTTCTTTTTTCTTTTTTCACCTGTTCTACTGTCTGGTTTGCAAATATGAAGTGATCCTTCTGGAAGTGAAGAGAGTTCGTGCTTGAGGTTCTTATTGGATAAGCGAGATGCATGTCTGGGTCCTTGGATACCTGGAAGGTAACTTCTGTTTTTTGTGCATGCAATCTTATACGCGTCTAACTTGGGAAAATCATGCTGTCTCTCAATGTACCTGGTATCAAAGTATATATAGCTATAGTGATTTGTTTATATTAATCTTTACATAGTATAGCATGTATGTGAGGATGCTAGGTTGCTTGAGAATTCATATATTCTTTATTTTAACCTTTTGTCTATGTCAGGGATTGGTTTGAGGATGAACTTCGAGCTTTTGATGGTGGTAAAGATGGACTTGTGCCCTGTGTATGGGAGGATGAACCTAGTAGTTTTCCTCAGGTAATGAGAGTTCCATGCTTACATGCACAATGACCCATACGTACATGCATATAAGCACGTATGTGTTTATATTTTTATGTGTGGGCGCTTTCTTCAATTTCCTTTGAACCTTTTCTTTTGTTCATTTTTATAATTCATGTGACTTGTTTATGTAGATTCCATCAATGAATTTTCATTTTCAAATATTTACTTTATGTTGATATTCTTTTCCATGATGGTTCCAAATGTATCTTGTTTTCTCATAATTTATTTGATACATCTTTTTATTGATGTATTATTTGTTAATTACACCATGTTTGTGCATTTCATATGAGGTTGTTGGGTCATACATGATTCTGGGTTTATTGAAATGTCAAGATGTTTTGAAATAGACCGAGAACATGAAGTAAGATGTCAAAATTGATATAGAACTGATCCTATAGTGTTAGTGCTTGTGTGAAGCTCCTCTTTAACATTGCAAGCTCAAGGGGAATGGAACCACCTCTTGATATGCAAGGAAAAGTGAAGTTGGGGTGTATTTCCAATTTTGGTCTACTCAAAGAAGGCTCTCTCCTCGAGGATTCGTATTTGCTTTTTCTTCCTTTTAAGTTTTGTTTTCTCTTGTTTATCATATAGTTGCCATTCCCAGACTGATCCGTTGATCTAATTTCCAAAAAAGAGTCTTAAGTTTCTTGTTTTGTGCTTGATTTTCTCTGGTCTGCATTAGTTGGATTTGTTTTCTGCAATTACAGAGCCTTTTGGGCCATGTATTGGAATTTGAAAACATCTATCTGAGATATTCAAGCCAGAAATTTGTAAGGATTGAAGTTCGGTAGAACTTCAAGATGAGAATTTGACATGTATCATGAAAGTGACCATTAGTATACTGACTGATAGTGCTAAGCAGCTGAGTTTATGATTTCTATGGTTTTAGTTGTATTACAGTCAATTCGCATTTGCTAGTGGTGAGTATTTGCTTCATCCTAACTGAACAAGAATTTAGCTGACTGGAACCAAACAGAACCAGGCAATCGAACTGGATCAAAACAAAACTGAATTTTATATTCAGTCCGGCTCACTGTATGCCAGAAAATCAATTTCAAATCTGATCTGGGCTTGGGCCTCAAGGCCAGCCCATAGCAATTATATTTTTGGCAGTTTAGACCTTCAGATCTGATTCTGGCTCGGAACCATTAGAAGAAAGTTATCAAATAAAAAATTTCTCCAGCTAGGGCTGGCCTAGTGAAAAAATGCGACAGAATGTCACTGTAGGCCTGAAACCTTTTCATATTAAATAATGAAAAACCAACGTGAATATCTTGAACTCTACCCTCCACCAAATGAATGAATAATAAATAAAAATATAAAATAAAACCTTGCCACGGACACACAGAAAGAAAAGAAGAAGAAAACAATCCACTGAGTTAAGAAAAACCTCTTGTCAGTGAAGGTGTCTGGTTGCCACTCGTGTATGTGCACTCAGCATCATCAGCATTTGTTTCTTCCTGTAAAGCTTTAGAGCCATATTTTGCAAGTGTTTCAAAAATTCTGGTAGGAGCAGATGGTAGACATTCGCATGGGTCAATTTGTCTGGTGAACATACATTGTTGGTCATCAAGTAGCTCATGCAAGCAGTGAGCAATCCTTGCCATTTTAGACTAAGTTGATTTTAATGAAAAAGAAAAGATGATTATATTTACTATTGGAAATCATATGTTTCTAAGGCACAAGATATGTTTCAATTTAATCACAAGAAAGTAGTGAAAAATAGTTTGGTAGCCACCAAGGTGCGTGTCCATGGGAAGGTTGTTAATTTATTTATTTAATACTTTTTTCCTTTTGGTTTCCAAAAACATGCTTTACTCGGGTCTTTCTGCCGCATCTTGCGAAAGCTTTTGGTGCAAATTATTGGTGAAGGGGTTTCTGCCAACTTTCTGATGAGAAGCATGTAGACCTGTTTATATTGTTTTTATGTGGCATATTACTTAACTATGTAATGTGTAGTTTCATCTGTTCTTTTCTTCTTTTTTTGTTGTTCTCTTTTTCTCTGATGAAATTTAGTTTTTACTGATCTTGTGAAGCCGGATCCTGTAAGCAAACTTTTGATCAATCAGAAGCTCCTGTGCTTTGGTACTATATTTGCAACTGAGGTGCATCCTTAATTCAGATGATATTTTGTTTGTAAGATATTTGGGTTTCCAATGTGTTAGTGATATTTACTTGTATCCAGGATAGAAGTGGCATGATCAGTCTACTTAACAAAATTGATCAATGCCTTAAGACTGGAAAGAAGCTACCTTATCATGCGGCTAGTATTACTAATGCATGTGTTGCTCTCCTGGCTGGCTTGAAGGTGTTAGTCTATATCTATCTGTAGTGCTTTAACTAAATGAATGGGATGTTGGTGTTGCTTATTTTATTTCTTTCATATTTACACCTTTCATAGGCTCTGCTTGTTTTGCGCCCTCAAACACTAGGAGCTGAAATCTTGAGCTCTATTCAGTCTATTTTCCAGGTGGACATCATTCTTCTATATTTATTGGTCATTTGATTTAATCCTGTTTCTCTCCTCATTTTTTTGCTCTTACATTTTCTTATTGTTTCTGTTCAACACATGTTATCTCCGCTTAATGTCTTTTCACGCACCGGTTTGTGTTTTATGTTTATTTGTAAAGATCACCTTTCTTTAAGAGGCCAATAGCAGAATAGTTTTTTATTTTTTTATTTTTCCTTTAATTATATTCTGTACTACGAGAATTTTAAGATGAAATCAAGCTCCTATCTTCATCCCAATAGTTAATGGTATAATTCTTCAATGATTGTTCCAATATATGGCATTACCTTCTACAATCTCAACAGCCATGAATGTTTATCAAGAAGCATGCTTGCTTTACTTTGCTATCATTCAGATGATACTCTCCCTAGATACCTCTATTACCTATTTCTTTCTGGCGGTTGAGGAGAGAAAAAGGGTGGAAAAGACATGCTTGTTTACAGCGAAATGAAGAGTTCGAGATGGATGTGTTGCAGCATTGCATTTGAAAGGAAGCTAGTACTATGAAAACCACACGTTATCTTTAGAATGCCCTTGCATGCTAAGGATTCTGTATAAATGTCAGGCCGGTTTCACACTCTAATGCTAGCGTGTAACAATGTAGGAAAATTGCAACCACAACAATTCTTAGAGCAGTTTAATAATCTTTTTATTTATCTGGCAAAATAGTTCACCTCTTTGCCCAGTTATCACAGTTTTTTAATGACCTCATTTGTGGATTAAACTGGACAAAATAAATAGCATTACCCTCTACAATATCAACAGCCATGAATGTTCTTCAAGAAGAATGCTTGCTTTACTTTGCTATCATTCAGATGATACTCTCCCTAGATGCCTCTATTTCCTATTTCTTGCTGGCGGTTGAGGAGAGAAAAAGTGTAGAAAAGACATGCTTGTTTACAGCAAAATGGAGAGTTTTAGATGGATGAGTTGCAGGATTGGGTTTGAAAGGAAGCTAGTACTATGAAAACCACACCTTATCTATAGAACCCCCTTGCATGCTGCATGCTACAGATTCTGTATAATTGTCAGGCCGGTTTCACACTCTATTGATAGCATGTAACAATGTAGGAAAATTGCAACCACAAGAAGTCTTAGAACAGTTTAATAAATTTTTAATTTATCTGGCAAAATAGTTCACCTCTTTGCCCAGTTATCACAGTTTTTTTATGACCTCATTTGTGGATCAAACTGGACAAAATAAATATCAGAAGATAAGAAAGTTTTCAAGGTTACTTTATACATTGAAATAAACAGTAAAGTCTGCAAGAGTACATGTGACTGAGGTCATAGCTTGAACTGTTAAAAATTAAATTGTTTGCCAGTTTCAAATCTTGCTTATGCCAAACCTCAAACTTCTCAATGTTTTTGTATGGCTGTGATAATGACAATTGGGAAGTTGAGATATGGACGTGTTAAGAAAGGAGAGGGTAAAGGTGTTTAGAAAGGAGAGGATATCCATCAGGATGGAAGCGAGCAGCTTAACATAATTACAATAAGGTTCATACGATGTATCCTGCACAAATGAGGAGGCAATTCTGTTTCTTATGATGTCTATAATAATGAAATTATAATTGCCATAACTATGAGCACTCCATTGTGTATATTGAGATAACTTGAATACTTTCTGAAGGATTTGGAGCCAAATCCTCCGTGATTCAATCTTTAGCAATCATATCATCATAGTATAACCTTAACGCAACTTTAGAGTTTTAGTGTAGTGTAGTCACTGTAGTGGACCTTTAACAAAGCCAATTATCTATCTAGATCATTCATCCGGCTTGTTAATGGATGAAAAACTTGGCTAATATTCAATTTCTTGGTTTAAGATACTTTAACGATGTAGATCAATATTAATGGAGTATATATTTCAGATGAATTGTTAAACTTTGTTTTTGGACTGGGCTCCAAATCCTTATGGAAATATTATCATTTTTATTTATCCAATATGTAATATATTAAATGTGTTAATTGACAGAGTATTCTAGCAGATGGAGATACTTGTCCTGCACAAAGAAGAGCCTCTTCTGAGGGTCTCGGTTTATTAGCTCGTCTTGGCAATGATATTTTCACAGCAAGAATGGTTTGTGTCCTTTGTCATTCAGTCCTGTCAACTTTCACTACTTCCTATTAGCTTTAGTTGTAATCTTATTTGTTATGAATACTGGGAGTAACTAATTCAACTAGTTTATACTGTCGACTACATTTATTTGTTATTTGAAACCACCTAAGTAATTGCCGCTCAGCTAATATGTACATTTCGCAAATATAAATGACAAAACAATTTCAAGCTAATCTGGATCTCGTACTTGCATCCTAATTAGTAATTTCTGTAATCTGTTTTATCATCAAATCATTTTCTGCTTTGCTGTTATATCCTACTTTACTCTCTTAATTGATTCCAGCTTCTGGTATTCCTCATCTATGTCTCCATTTATTCTTGTAAGCTTATTTCTTTATCTGTATCTTCTTCTTCTTCTTATTCTTTCTTGTTTCTCTGTTTTTTATGGGTCTGCTCAAATATCTTTGGCTGTTCTATCCTGAATCTTATTTCTTCATTGAATCCATTCAGTATAAATTCCGCATATAGCCTAATTCTAATATCTTGGTCATTGCTAAGGGTTGTCTATTGTTATCTACTCTTCCCTACCTTCCTTCCTATGATCTTACGTGTTTTATCATTATCTTTTATCAAGTTCCGTTCCGTAGTTAATTCAGAGAGTATAAATGTTTTTACTACTTTTTAATTCATCAAATATTAGTCACTTACTCGATGCTGTTCTCATCCTACCTCTATATGTTTATTTATGATCAACTAATTGCACTTAAAATAGTTTATCTTATTTTTTATGGTGAGACCAGAATCTGCAGTTGAGTTCTAACATAAATACCTTGTACTTGTTTTTCTCTTTTAAATCCTTTAGTATTATTTTAATTGAAAACTTGCTAGTTTTACCCATCACTGGATGTAATGTTCTTCTCGAGCTCATACTCACATGCTATTTATTTGATTGTAATGAGTAATTTGACGAAAACCTTGGGTTTGGCAATGATCATCAAACAAAAACTAAAATACGGGGGTTTGAAGGGCCGACGCAAAGAGACAAGGTTTTTCTTTTATCCATGAGAGAGTAAAAAAGATCTAATTCCTGACTTTCAGTTGTAATCAATTCCTACAACCAATGTTTTAAAAAGCCTCCGTGTAGCCCGCCTAGGCGTACGCCTAGGCTTACGTAGTACATTTGCTGCCTACCTAGCGCCTAGGCGGTAGTTAGGTTGTACGCCTAGGGAGCGTGGTCTGCCTACATGGACTGCACCATTTAGGCATTGATCATGATTTTCTCCATTGCAGCCTCCACATACTCCAACCTTCTTAAAACTCCAACTATGAACACCTCCTCTACCTTTTCCGACCTTGAACAAAACATCCTCCACCACTTAAGAAATTCACTTAGTTTTAGTCCAGTGCCTGAGCTTTCTATAACATTGACATTTACTATCAGTAATTATAATTAAAAACTTAAAAAAATAGGAAAACACCTAGGCCCTGCCTAGTCTCCCGCCTAGACTCTTAGGCTCTAGGTGTCGGGTCCAACGCCTAGGCCGCCTAGCGCTTTCTGTGAACTTGCCTACAACGACAACAACTAAGCCTCTATCTCAAATTTTTTTAGGTCAGTTCGATTTACCTTATTCATCCATTCAGTTTTGTTAACCACTATCATATCTTTCTTAATTGCTTCTAATACAAAGTTCTTTAAGATATACTTCTAGTGTCCATTTATAATGTTATCAGTTATCCTTTGAAATTACTTTTGGAAGAATTTTCAGTTTGTTGTAGATAAAAAACGATCTGCTAATGATCCTTACTCCACATACCAAAAGAGGCTTTATCCTTTGCATTGGAATGTTTGGAGGAACTTCTTACCGTCTCTCTCCCCACCAATGATTATGACGACTGTATATGTTTCAAGCTTATCCTCACTGAAGAATTATTTTAGTTTCTAGCACGATCTATCTGATTCTCTCGAACTGTTTGTTCCTGTATTTTTATATGGTTCTTTATGTCCTTTCTCATGCCATCTTCTTTTGCCTCTGAATAAGCTTCACTAACATTTCCTCCCATTATGGAATAGCATTTTTGAAATCATTCTTCACTGTCCTTATGTTATTGAAGTAACACATGTGTTAAACATGCTGTATGCAGATAGCTGGATACTAAGTTCTCATAATGTATCCAATCAAAAGAAAGTTGTTCTATGCTTTCTTCTTGTTTTGTGGACTATGTTTCCTCCTAACTCCCAAGTAATTTGGAAATCAATTTTCACTCATTTATGATTTTATGTATGATATAAGTTAAGTGTGAATATAGTTGAATACTTAATTCTCATTGCACAGCCAATGAAAGGAAAGTTCAATGATTTTCTCTTGTTTGCTGTAATACCATTGTTTGCTTTTCTTAATCAGACACGAAGTCTTCTTGGAGAGCTTGGTTCAGCAACAGACCCAAGCTGCATTGGATCTATTGCACTTTCATTGGGTTGCATTCATTGCAGGTAAACATTGATAATGTAAAATGTTGTTGAATGCGTAGATGAACTCTATTTTCTCATGTTCTAGATGGGATTAAATTCCTAAGATCAGTTTTTGGAAAGTTCATGGCAGACCCTTTACGAATGAGCAGTATAATTTACAGACTTCAGTTGGTATTAAAATGTGATTAGGTGGTTTGAAAAACTTTCCTTCTGTCGTTATAAGCTCTATGTTATTTTAGAAGTCAAAAGAAAAAAGAAACCCTTTTTTCAAAAGAAAAAAGAAACCCTTTTTTCATACAAATATGTCAATCATATTTTAGCATTTCAAAATGAGCATGGTATCTGACAATAATCAAACAGTCCAATTAGTTTGAGGGATAAATTAATTGCTTATTGTTTCCTTAGAGTTATATTCCTGTCTGACGAACCAGAAATTCCTTAAAATTCCTGTCATAACATTTTGTCAGTTTATTTAGTGTTTAAGGTTTGATAACTTGAACTTGACCTTTATATCTTGTTTATGATGCATTAAAAGAATTGATATTTTCCATTTGGCACACAGTGCAGGAGGAATGGCATTATCTACATTGGTACCAGCAACTGTAAGTTCAATTTCTTTGCTTGCTAAGAGTTCAAATCCTGGTCTACAGTTGTGGGCTCTGCATGCTCTTCTTTTGACTATTGAAGCTGCTGGTTTGTCATATGTTTCCCAAGTTCAGGTAAATAATTGTAGTTTGGGTAATTGCCTTTATTATTTTCTCTCATAGACTTCTGTAGTAATATTTTTTGTCATGAGATCTGAATCTTTCTTCAAACCTTCTTTTTTTTTCCTTGTTGACTCCTATTTAACTCTTATCAGTTAAATAGTTAGAGCTGTGATCTTTTGTTAACCAAGATTTTTATTTTGTATGTATGGTATCACATACACTTGTAGAACATAAAAAATAAATAAAAGGTAGTTAGAACATTTATGCAAAAGAACAATATAGATTTGGCTATTACCCAAAAAAAAGAAACCCTGGTTTTTCGATGCTTCTATAACAATTATTTGTTTTTTTTTGTGTCGGTTTTCATTGATATATAATATTTCAATAGAATCTATATGTGCATTTACAGTCATGAAATGCTTTGGTATGTAGGCCACACTCTCCCTTGCCATGGAAATTCTTTTGTCAGAGGAGAATGGTTTGTCTGATCTTCGGCAGGAGTTAGGCTGTCTAATAAATGCCATAGTAGCTGTTCTTGGCCCTGAGCTTGCTCCAGGAAGTACCTTTTTTTCCCGTTGCAAGGTTCGGTTATGATTTAATTAAATTTGAAGTTCCTCCTTTCATATTGTGCTATCCACTTTGTATTGGGCCCAAGAGCGGCTAGTTCACATTGTTTGTGAGGAGGTATTGGAATACGGTAATTATCATGATCTGAAAAGCTAATTATAGATTTGTGGGAGGAGCAATTGTAAGAGCTGTAGGTAAGTCTAGCTAGTGAGAGTGGTATGATGATAGGTGAGCTCCTAGGATGTTCTTTGCTTTGTTTTCATCCATGTACTTTTGTACCTTGAAGGGAGGTAAAGGCTGCAATTCTCATCATTCTTTCAGATTATATTGCTTCTTGTTGACATTTCTTTTTTACAGTCTGCTATTGCAGAAATAAGCTCTTGCCAGGAGACATCGACTCTTCTTGAGTACGTTTCTAGCTTGGACATACTTTTCTTCTCTGTTTTTGGGGGCTCGGTTAGGCTAAAAGGAGAGAATATGAGACTTAATATCTGAAACTTGTTTCAAGAGAGGTAGAATATTGTTGATAAAATAATTATCAAAATTGCAGGTCTGTTAGGTTCACTCAACAACTTGTTCTTTTTGCTCCACAAGCTGTTTCTGTGCATTCTCATGTTCAAAGTCTTCTCCCAACGCTCTCTTCTAAACAGGTAACCATAATAGCTGTTAGTTGGTGTATTTTTTTTTGCTGGATTTCATACTTATTTCAAAACAAGCTAATATGTTTTGCCACAGCCTAGTCTTAGATATCTGGCTGTTTCAACTTTGCGCCATCTAATCGAAAAAGATCCGGTAAGAATTATTTGAAATTTGTGTTTATATTTATAATGAAACTGATATAGTACTTAGTTTACATGTAATCTTGAACTTGAGTTTATGAAACCATTGCTAGGAACTATGTGATTCAGGCTGCCTGTGAAATATTGTTGTTTAGAGCTTGCCACAATGTGAAGATCCTTATTGTCATTGGTTGGTAATACGTTCTAATGTTTGTGTAGCATGGCAGGCAGTTTATTTCCTCAGCTTCGCTAGTAGTAAAATTCACCAAAATTTGTAACGCATCAGCAGCAAGAAATATGTATCTTGTCTAAAAAGCCAGAAGCATGCGAAGTGCAAAGTACTTAATACTACTCATGAAATGTATTGGTTATAGCACATATATTTGTCCTTATTATTGCACTCGACATCATACGTACTGCTTGATATTAGTTCACTATTATTTTTATTATCATCACACTTGTCCTACTTTTACATGGTAATTGGTGAACAAATGCACAGGAGCCCAAGTTCCTTTTTAAGTCTTTGCGTTGAACCTAGAGACTGCAAAATTCAGAGCTTTCTACACTAACGAATGTTCCATACTAAACAGAGGTTGTGGTTAAAGTATGCTACAAAAGATGCACCAATGTTGAAAATAGCGATAACGCATAGCGTAACGCTTACCTCCGGTTAACGTAAAACGTAAAATAGCGTAACTCTTAACGTAGGTTCAATAATTTATTATTATTTAAATATTTTATAGATACATTACATTCAAAATCAATAAATATGAATAATCATGGCAATTTTCAAACATATCATCATAAAAATACTATGACAAATCGATATATCATCACAATTTCACAACAAAATCAACCATGTTTGCCTTAACAATCAATCCAAAAGCATAAAATACTTCAAGTTCGAAACCCAATCATAGACGTTTTAACAAAACAAGCATTTCTAAGTCATAAGTTTTAATAAATCCTACAAAATGAGTCGTCCTACAAAATGAGTTGAAGGAAGAACCGAAGAAGAAGATGGAAGAATCCGAGGAAATGAGTTTTTTTTTTTGATCTGGAGGCTTTGGAGGCAACGGCAGCAAGCCCTTTAGGTTTTTAGGCTTGAATTTAACTTATGAAAAGTGGGCTCCACCCACTTAAACTCAATCACAACCGTTGAATCATTTAAAAAGCAATCCCAGCCATTGAACAATATAACTTAAACTACAAAGCGCCACGACGACGCGTTACATAGCGTACGCTATGGCTAAAATAGCGCACGTTATATTGTCCGTGCGCTATTTTCCAACGCTATGTGGCGGTAGGGCAGTGCTACGTTACGCTATGCGCTATTTTGCGCTACGGAACGCGCTATTTTCTACACTGAGATGCACAATCCTTATACGTCTGTCTGACTTTCGTCCAGACAGAAACATATTTTTGAACTGCTTGTTTGATCATGCCTGATTGATTAACCTAAAACTTTGATGTGTGGATTTTAATTTGTATCACAGTTTGATTTCGGCTTGTTTTAAGCCATAACTTTAACTTGCATGACATACCTTCTAGAATATTTTTAATTATTGAGATAGTGCAGACTCGTGACCCAGTCTGATGATGTAGACACTGCTTGCATTTGTACTACCATTTTTATCTCTATACGTGACTTGTTTTACAGATGTGACATCTTATTGGAACACAATGATGGTAGCACTATATGATTCTCCAAACATCATAAGCACATAAATTATATGAAAATTCAAATTTAAGAAACTTTGCATCCGGTTCCCTTGCTTCATTGCAGTAGGAGCTCTGTCTAAGTTGCATGCGTACAGGTACAGGATATGGATACAACATGATACAGGTACATGGATATGGAAAAACCTCATAATTCGGAATACTAAGGCATTGTGGGATAAGAAATTTTGTGTCATATTAAATATTAATCGTTTTTATCTGTCATAAGTACGTTTATAAGGCTATAATGGTTGGAGAAACAGTATAGCTAATGTAAAGATCATAAGTTATATTAATCAAAGTTAAAAGAAACATCATAGTTCTTTGTTAAGAAGATAGAGAAGTCATAGGAGTGTCCTACATGTATCCATCATGTATCACGTCCAAGTGCCAGATACACAACTGATACTGGTATCTCCTTGATCGAAGTATCCATGCAACATACAGCTTAGTGATTGCCGTTTGTTCTTTCTATTAATTTGTCATAAGAAATTGCTTGAAATAAGTGGTAATACTTTGGTAATAAATTCATGAAGTTATTGTAGCTTCACCTGTATATTCCGAATCTAAATTGCATGGATAAAGGTATGGCTACTGTACGGGTACGGGTATGGACACAAAAAATTTGTAGAAGTTAGGGCATGGGGAAATTGACTAAAACACACGGGATGAAAGCATAGTTCTGAACTAGACATGCAAACGACCCATTGAAATTATAGCTTAGAACTGAATATGGGCTGAAAGGAGCCTTATCTTTGTTCAAGAAGTGTATGATGAGTGTTTTGAATTAAAAAGTGTATTGTATAAGTGAGTACACATATGAATAAATGTATGCCTATATTCATGGAGTGTCCAAAAGTGTCGGGTACTGGTACATAGTCCTGGATCATGCCACATATATGCTGATTATTTTTAAAATTTTAGTTAAAGGCAAATATATCCAGGAGTCTTAACATAGTAAATGATCTTTGCGTGTCACCAAAATTGAAAATTGAAGGCTTGCCAGAACGAGCAAATATTTTTAGTTAATTTAACATTCTAGGGCTCAAAGCAAGGTCCAATTCCCGGATATCTGAATCAGTCCTTATTTAAGTTTATTTTCTCTTTTGGCTGTCTGAATTCTCTTTATTATTTGCATTCCTTTAACGAATTGATCAACCTCAGTTCTTTTGGCTGCCTAAGGCAGAGAGATATTTCACTTTAGAAAGTTGGTAGTTCATTTTTTCTCACTAATGTGGAAATAACTGTTTCTTCTCAGGTTGCAATGGTCGATGAGAAAATTGAAGAAAACTTGTTCAGTATGCTTAATGAGGAAACTGATTCGGAGTATGCCACTTTCTGAATGTCGTAGATTTATATTTTGCATGTTTGTTTTCCTTTGATGACATTTTGCTTATGTATATTTATGAATTTTATTTAACTAACATAAGTATGCAGGAAAAATGCCTTTGGATAACCTGCTTTCCTATTGATATAGTATTTTAGCAATATTTAAGAAACAACAATATAATCTTTATTGTTTGTCTTATCGACACTGGAAAATCAATGTTGATGAAAATGATTGATCCAATATGCTTAAGTTACTAAGATATAAATACTTAGATAAATGTATGTTGTTCGTCAATCATGGAAGACATGAAAAGACCTCTCCTATGACATAGTGTAGATTTCTGTCTTGCACTGTGTATTTTGTTAAGAAATTATTTTTCTTCTATCAACTGTGATATTGGGTGCAATTGCGTCATCTTTTCAGTTTCTCTAGTTTATTTTTCTTTTATATTTAAGTTCGAGTCTCAATACAACCTTAATATATTTCAAATGTGAATGAGTTTGCATTATACAGACATTCTGGCTATCATTGATACAGATCTAGCGGAGGACCTGTTTATTTAGCTGCAAAGTATGCCACTGCGTTCTAATGACAATTGTATTTTTGTTCAGTGTCTTAGCAAAGATAAACCTATATTTACAACCCTTCGTTGAAAATGCAAGAAGTTCTTCTGTGTGTTTATCTTCTTTCTCATTATTATTTTGCAATCACACAAATCTATAATTGTTAATGTATTCTCGGGTCAGGACTTCGTTCTGTTTTTTCTTTTCTTGCCATTGAGCATCATCCTTCGATACTTTAGGATACTTCTTTGAGTGGTTTATTTCAGTACATTTTAATAACTACCACGGTACCACCATACAATGTACTTTATTTATATTTATACATTGAGACTTACGTTCTTGATTAATTTCTGTTTCTGCAAATCTGTTTAAACCTGTTTAGTTACTTCATGCGCTATATAGTGTCGAATCAATCATGGTGGCGTATTGACCAAGACGTTTGTTTTATTTAATCCAAATCGTGGTGTCCATCCTCTCAATTACTTCTATTTTTGACGTGCCTGATTTGACACTTCTTTTCCCTAGTTCTTCAGGTAGTTATTTGTTCACTGTGTTACTTGATGTTGAGATGTTAGTATATTCATAATATAGTGATAGTTTTTACAAGATTTTCTCCTGTAGAATGGTTATTCTCTTAGGATTCTACTCTGTGAAATAATTAAAAATGATAAGGATGTTGCTTCACCAATCATTACTCATGTTTTATCTTTTTGTCTGGTAGGATTGGAAGTCTAGTCCGCTCAACAATTACTCGATTGCTTTATACATCGTGTCCTTCATGCCCATCACGTTGGTTGGCTATCTTTCACAACTTGGTATTTACTTTCTAATTCAACTTCTTTACAACCAGCATCATTCATTTATTGTCATATTTTCAACTTTATTGTGCAGTGTGATCTTTAGCTGCTACATATTTTTCATCTGTTGCCTCCCGTTCTGAAGTCCTGACATCAATGTAACATAGAAATGGGAAACCTTTCTGGTAGCTAACCAATCAAAACTGCAGGCCAGTCTTCTTTAGAAGTGGGAAAAATAGCCAACCAATCAGGACTGCAGGCCAGCCTTCTTTAAACTTTACTGTGCAGTGTGATCGTAGCTACAACATATTTTTCATCTGTTTCCTCCCGTTCTAAAGTCTCGACAACAATGTAACATAGAAATGGGAAACCTTTCTGGTATCTAACCAATCAGGACTGCAGGCCAGCCTTCTTTAGAATTAATAAGCAACCTGAATGGCTGGTTAACTTCTGTAGTGTAAGAAGCCAGCACGTTGGAGTAGTATGCTTTGTATTTTTTGTGTTTTATTATTTTAAATTAGAGCATAGCTGGTATGTTAAAAGTTAACACCTTGTAAACCATTCTCAAAATGAAACAAGACATGTTTATAGGCAGAGTACAAAGAAACAGAAGGACAGGATTGTAATGCCAAGTGGGCAATGTATAGAGCTATGACGCACGGATACGGATACGAGACACGGATACGACATGGACACGGATACGGAATACGGCAAAATCTAAAAAAATAGGATACAGGGATATAGCAAGTAATTTTTTTTTAAATTATTATTATATATAGAAAAATTAATAAAATTCAACTAACAATCTAAAATATGAATATATCATAAAATAACAATCTAAAATATATTATTTATAACTTTCTCTATCAGATTTATGATAATAATATGACGCTAGGCTGCTGCTCGAACTCAAAAACCGGAGATGATGATGACAGTGGTGATGATTGTGCTAGACGGGGAGGAGGAATGGAGGGTGGACTTGAGGAGTCAAAGGAAGGAGGAGTCGGTCGTCGGGATCGGGTCGGAACAGCGGAGCGGTCAGCGGGATCGGGTCGGAACATTGGAGGTGATCGAATCGAACGGGAGTGAGCTGAGAGATTGAGAGAGAGGATTAGGGTTAGGGTTAGGGTTTTTTCTTTTTTTCTTTCGTTTGAGTAAGCTGAAGATCGAATCGAACGGGAGATTTAAGAAATAAGGATGAGTTTTTTAATCGAACGGTTCGGGTTGGATTTTAACAATCAAACCCGTAACCCGCAACCTGAATGAATCGGCCTTCGGCGATTCCGAGCCGTGTCTGAGCTCCTTTTACTGTGTCTGAGCCTAATTTGACCGTTGACTAGTGTCCGAGCCTAATTTGACCGTTGACCAGTGTCTGAGCTCCTTTGACCGTGTCCGACACGTGTCGTGCACGTGTCATGACGAATCCGTGTCCGATTCGAGTCGGACACGGATTCGTGGCCTCCAGGGGCGAATCCGTGCTTCAGAGGTATAGAGTGCACCCAAATTTCTTGTCCCTGATGCCCTATTCTCTCAATCCTCACCAACACTCTCCCTCCCTCTCTCTGGTCCATAGCTGGCTCAGATCTGGATCCAAAAGAGAAGATTTAACTACGTAGTTTCTGGATTAGTGTTAAGACTGCAAGTTGACTGGATTAGATAAGAAAATCTGGATAAATTAGTCATTTTTAAAATTTACTAGTCATTTTAATAGAACATAAAGATAATATTACACTTTGGTTCTCTAGCATTAAGAGTGAGAAGTAGCTTAATTTCCCAATCTCACCTGGGATGTGAATTAGAAAATGCATCCATTTGGAGAGGAAATTTTGGAGGATGGACGTTTTAGAGGGTTAATATGTTAAGAAAACAATGCAAGTATAATGCATCTAGTTAAAGCAATCTATATATGAGAATAATGGATATGCTTGGTACTTGGTAGTGAGGTGGTCACTACTTATCCGCTCATTCAATTATCTAACTCATGTGCAACCATGTGAATGTGGTCTCTGATGCGAGCCTCGATCCAAATCAGCCGTGAATGGTGCAACTTGATACCAATTCATTTCCATAACCAACAAATAATGAACTAGAAATGAATAAGAAATGCGGAACTAATAGCTATGAAGAGATATTGCATGAAAAGTAAGGAAAGATATGTAAAATTGGATAACTAGGCTTTGAAGAGAACCGCAAGCCAAAGAATGGAAAGGGAAATAAAAGAGACAACTCAAACTCTGCATGCTATCCTGTGCTTCTGTTGCTATTGATATAGTATCCCACTTTAATTCAAGTCCCCAAGAATTATAAATTTGCAAAACTACTTAATTGC